AAATATTGGTCATCATTTTTTAAACAAAGAAACAGGGTTTCATTGGGGTAAAACATTGAAACCACGGTCCATTACAAATACAGTGTTAAGGGGTCAAATAAATGGTTTAGTATGGAAATATCGTTCAAATTCATGCGCAGGATTCTTGGAAACGTATACTGCGGTGATCGACATCGAGTCGCGAAAAACGCGAAATGTGATTTCCATTATGACGCAGTATACGTCGGAACATACAATAAAAAAATGATAATCATTTTTAAAGAATCCGAATCTCGTTTTTTATTGTTTACAACGTAAATTAATGAAAATGATAATTATCCTTAAAACTTTTTAAACGTTTTTTAAACGTTTAACTAAAATTAATTTCTTTAACATTATGTAATTTAAAAACAGATTTGGCAATTTTAAGCTTAACTGTGTAAAAATAATTATACTATTTGGTCTTGAGTATAATAAATCCGAGAAAAATTATAATATCCTGAGATACAAATCGTTTTCTTTTTAATGAGAATTATTCCTAATTGCCTACCGTTTTTTGCTGTGAAATTTTTATAACATACATTATATTTACTGAGAGGTGTGATATTCCAAGCTTCATAGATCGATGAAGAACTCATTGGCATAGGAAGATCCATAAATGCTATATGAGGTCAATATTACTTGGTTCGCCCAAGGTGAATATTTCATGGTTTAGTGGGTTGATGTTATACCATAAGTGGGTATGCCTTATAATAATAATATTATTATTATTTATGATCTAAGCATTTTAATCTAGCAGCTTCAAAAACTTAATTTCAACCTTTAATTTCTACTCATTTTGTCCTATTTCGGTTCATGAAAAAAGCAATTGCGCCTAATTACTAACTATTAGAGTATTTTCAAAAATCACGTCATTTCCCAATCTCAAAATATATAAGAGGTCAACTAGTAGAAATGTCACAAGCCCTCAAATTTCGATAATAAAAATATCGTAATGCCGTATATTAATTGTCATTTATAATATTAACTCTTTATTTATACTGTAAATACAGTTTTTATATATAATAATATCCTACGCTTCGCTTTGTGCAACATGTTAAAGACAAATAATATCATATGATCTTATAATGATATATTAGTAATATTATTATTTAATGTTCTTTATTATGAATATTAAATGGATTATTTAGCATTGATAATCTTTAACGTAAAATCCACATAATAATATTATTCATAAAAATGTGCCGCATTTGTTGTTTAATCCCTTGTATAACTTGTGATTTTACTGATGAAAGTTGCTACACAGATTCGTTGATAGTCATGTGAACTGTAGGTGGATTCGATAAAACCATTCTTTTAATCTTTATAGAACGGGGCAAGGAACTTTATCGAAATCTCCTTTACAAATTTGAGAAAATAAGAAAAAAGCTTGGTAAGAAACAAGTAATAAACTAATAAACAAGTAATAAACCAGTATTAATTTCATGAATTTAAAAAAAATTTATCTATTTTTAAAAAAATTTTTTATTGAATTTTTTTTGTTCCCTCTTTTCTAATTTAGTTCTGAGAAAATTTCAAAGAATCTTCGTGACGCAATCTTAGGTGAGAAAAGCATCTGACGACAAAATCCTACCACTGATATGTAAATTTAGTCTTTAAAAGCCTCCTAAGCACTAGTTTCATCCCGAAAATCACTTTATGCACCATTTATTTGAAACATACGAACTGCTGATACTTTTTTGGATCGTAAGAATTTCAAGTTTATTAAGATATGTTCCAAAATACAATAAAAAAAAAATCCTTTTGTTATTTTAGTAAACAAGCAAAAAAAAAAAAAATGTCTACATAATTATCCAAATTTCACGAGTTAGTATTCAATAATTAATTATATTTAGGTGTACTTTTGAATAGATCAAATTAAGATCGTCGTGAGTCTTTAAACGTACATGGGATATTTTTTATATAATAATTCGGTGTACGAATTCATCAATCTTATAACCGTTAAACACTTTCTTTCAATTTGGTCACCATCATCTATGTAGTTATCACAATCAAAAATTTTCCGTTTCATCACTTCAACATTTATTATCTGCCTTCCCTTATACTTTAAAGTTTTAACACCCCAAAACCTCAAAAACGTTCTAGTTGAGAATTCTGTGGCAGAACACTACTGCAATCAACAGATCACAAATGGGGCTTATGTGGCGAATGCCTTAAAATGTGGTCATTGTAAATGTAACACGATGCATGGAAACATCTCGTTTTGTTGAGGCGTTAGCGGCGTGAGAAGCGTATAAGGAGAACAAGGATGCAAAAGTAAAATACAAAAATGTTGTAATAAACGAAAGCAAAAATATATGGTACATCGGCTGATGGAATAGCTACGCGTGATAAAACGAGATGATTCTGTGCAATGATGTTTCAAGTGAGACATTTGTATACCGCTAGATACAAAAGACGTATTATTGTTTGAGGGTGTAAATGTTTATAATTTGTCCCAACAAAAGATTAGCCAAACTCACTGAAAATTTGAAAGGGTTATATGTTATATAATCCAAATAAATTTTATTTGAGGGGTTTTATAAATAGAGTTTCAATAATTCGTGTGGTAAATTTCGGGAAAAAAAATATTTGCCAAATTTGGTGAATTTATTTGTTATCTAAATCAAGAAAAGGACCTTTTTTTTAAAAAAAAAAATTAAATAAAAATAAAATAAATAATTTATATAAAAAAACAAATAAAATTCGACAATTAACAAACGTTTTGAAAAGGGACTCTATCATAAAATATGGTAAATACTTCTAAATAGAGGCACAATGTAACACCAACATTAATATTATTAAAAATTCAAGGGAGATTTACACAAACAAGATTATCATGGAATAAATAATAGAAGACAAAGAGGGTAATATGTCAAAGAGCGGCCGGTGTTCAATTTTTTCCTTCTTTCCATAATTATTGGTTCCATGTTGAAAAAGAGGCGTTTTTTTACCATATCTCAAATAATGCGTGTAACATTTGTCTTTCACCATGTGAGGCCCAAAACCCAATACCTAATAATTATTTTTTTTTTTTTCGATGATCGACCAAATATCGTTCAACCGTCAAATTTTACTTATTTAATAATAATATCATTTGCAAAAACATTCGAGATACGACTTTTCCTTTTTTATGTTGTTGAACAAAAAATGGATAAGAAATTGAGACCTGGTTAAACGCTTAATAATATTCCGCCAAAAAAAATGCTAAACCTCGTAAGTCATACAGTAATAACGTAATATTATATAATCGTGAACTAACTTTAATAATGGCATATGTGTCACTGCTTGGTACGCGCGTACGATAATAATTCAACCAACGCCCTTTTTGCGTTTGGGTATTCAAAATCTTTCTTTGTTATCTACATGGTTTCTTTATTATCCCTCCCTCGACTCATAATAAAGTTTACTCATACAATTTAACCTTTGTGACATCTAAAGTCTCAAAACACGAAATTATTTAAAGAAAGATCTCCTTAATTTTTACGCGGCGATCTTAATGAACAAAGAAATTATTTATGCAGAATGAGATTAGAATATTTATCGAGTGGTCATTTCGGTATTGTCCATTGAGAGTTATTCTTTTTCATGAGAAACGTAATAGGGGCTTTGTTTAAAAAAACATCGCGTTATCTTCAATGAAAGAGGACCTTAAAAAAAGTGACACATTTTGATGAAATGTGACAAAAACTAAAAAAACAAGAAGCCTCCTTGATGTGTATGATTCTTTTAATCGGAAAAACTTTATTGATGCGGTTGGATTATAGTTCACAATTAATAAATAAAAAATAAAATTAATACAAATATTTTTATTCATTGTAATTAATCATTTTGAGACGAGAATCTGCCCACAAAAAAATGAAAAATTGGCGGCACAATCCGTTTGCATCACCCTACATGGTTGTCTAATTTTAGTAAATTATTGAATATTTATTTATTAATAGAATTTTTTTTTAAAAAAAACGTCTTTGCGTAAAGTCATTCGATTTTTCACGCATCTAAGATTCAAAAAAAAATTCATTCAAAATTTCCCAATCCTTTTTTTTTTTCTGTTAAAAAAACCGATTTGTTCACTTTGAATAAAAAAAATTGATGTTTGGTAACACATGCAATGCACTACAACTATTTCAAGTATTTAATTATAGCATGTTCCGAATCGGGAAAAATCAATGGAACTTTGCTAATAATAGTAACCTTTAAATTCGATTTAATATTGTTTGTTTTTTGGTTTTTTTGTCAAAGATACTGTTTGGAATTGCAAGCTCTGAAACAGTTGTCGCCTTTAATCGATTAAAATTATACAAGATCAAAATCACAGGCTATACATTCATTATTTTGGAGAAAAAAAAAATTTTTTTTTTTGTTTTATTAATAATGAAATTTTTTTTTTTTTTTTGTTTTTTTTTAAATATATAATATTTACAAATTCTTTCGAAAATAATGAAAAACAAAACTAAATTAAATAATTTTTTTTTGGTTTTAAAAAAAAATAGTTTTTTTTAAAAAGAAAACGACTAAAGATAACCCTTAAGAAAGAAAAGTTCATAAGACAAGAATACCATGATTTACCCTCCTCCAAAAAAAAGATTTAGGATGAGGTCAGTCTATAAAATCCATAGATACACTGCTTCTCTTTCTTACAAAATAAAAATACAGAAATTTTAAGATATAATAAATATAATGTATAAATGAAAAAATGTATATATAATGAAAAAACTTTACAAAGATTTTTTTTAAAAAAAATCATAATATTTAAAATAAATACAAAGAGAAGTAAACCTCTTTTTTAAGAAATACGTGTTGTGTTTTTGTTGATTAAATGAAAAAGTCCTTTTTTAGTATAAAATGAATTGGAATGATAAATAAAAATATAATGACGAATAAAAAGCTATGATTTTGAATTTAAAATGTTTATGATTTATAAATAAAGGAAAAGAAATGTATATGCACCAACCCAAACGAACCACCGATATCACCATTTATCAGTTGAACTCAGGTGATGTTGCGTTCGTTTCATCTAAATAATCAAAATAAGGATAGTATGAGTAGGCGGTGAATGGAAACCCAGGGTATTCGGGAGCCGACGTCGTCAAAATCGACGATTGATTCACATGATGCGATACATTATTTGTTCCATGAAAACACTTTGTTTCCGTCTGTTGTTGTTGTTGTTGTTGTTGTTGCTGCTGTTGTTCTGATGGAGTGGTTGGGCTGCCATTTGCTTCTTCGGTATTAAACTCGAACCTTCCGGAAGCAACTTCAGATTCATCAGAAGATGGATGCAAAACTACAATTTCAACCTGATCATCTGAATTGTTAAGAGTTGATGAGATTGGAAACATCATTGGTGAGACCACCGGCAAGTGGCTATCAAAAGTTTGAACACATGGCTGAACGTTTTCTTCTATTCTGTTCATGAGTTCGTTGGAAGATGATGTCGTTGAAATGGATGCATCCTTCTCATACGTATTTGCACAATCGACAAATCGTTGTAAACTTTGCATGATGCTCGGAATGTAATCAACATTCTTTGGATCAGGGAGCCTTGTTAATAGCTCATAGGTGATGACCAAAACAGGCTTAATACATCTGCTTTGTTTTATTGCATCCTTTAACTCTTGGAATAGTTGTGGAGAACTGAAATGTTCTTTGGATTCATACAACATACAGAGAATTTCTTTCTCCAAATCCTTTATTGTCAATTTTTCACCAATGTCACGTGTGATTGCTTCCAAGTGTACCTCGACCTCGGTGAGACGGTGTTTTAACAGCTCAACCTGTTTATTCTTGCGAGGCGAGTTGTCATATTTGCAGTGTTGGGGATCGCAATTGCTGCAAGCTTTTCCACTTTCGGCATCCCCATCGCACTTTATCTTGCCTTGTCGACAACGTTGACATGCTCGTTTGTTGATGGGACCTCGGGTTCGCTTTGCGAGTACATTGCTTGATTGATTGGGCTGGCTGTGTCGAGCGGTTGTTGGTCGAGAAGCTGTCATGGTTGATTTGCTGAAAAATTTGAAATTGATGTGATGAAATTTGAAAGAGGTTTTTGAAATTATTGACGACAAAAAAAAAAAGCGAAAAAAAATTTTTTCTTGTTATTTTTTTCGAAATAAAATAATAAAATATTATAGTTTCTTATTTAATAAAAAAGGAAGTTTCTCTTTAATATAAAAATAAAAAATAAGAAATAAAGTTTTTCTAATTTTTTTTTCGTTATATTTAAACTTTAATTTAAATGTATATATTTTTATTTTTTTTGAAATGTTTAAATTTTTTTTATTTTTTTAAAAAAAAAAAAAAGAGTCCGAGCAAATGTTTTAGATTTATTAATTTTTTTTTTTTTTTGTCAAAGAACTGAGGGGATTTTCTCGTCGTTTTTTTTTAAAAAATTTTTGTGCCAGAGACAGAAGGAAGCACTCAATTTATATATTTTTAACACAATTTTATTTATTACTGTAAAGAGTAAATAAATGCCATTTAATTCAGTTCCTGCGGTATAGGATATACAGGTGATTAATGTAAAATCTTTTAAAGTAAACTTAAATGAGATATATTGTAAATCTTATTTTAAAAAATATTTATATTTTCCAACCAATTTTGTACGTTTTGAAAGATTTTTTTAAAAAATCATTCTCAATACGGAAAGATTAACAAAGGTTAAACAAGGGGGGGAATGTTCCTACCCCAAAATCTTTCTTTTCGGGGACCGTTCGTAAATGTCACTTTCGACAGATGTCACTTTGGCGTTTTCCATAAATGGTAAGAGGTACAAAGCAAAGAAAAAAATTTTTTTTTGGGAAATATTAATTAAAAACAATTTTTATTGATACTCTTTTTTTATTTTATTTTATTTTATTCTTATTTCTTATTTCTTATGTTCTTATGTTCTTATGACTAACCGTGATCTTTTTTTTTTCACAATCTCCTTTTTTTTCCTTTATTTATTCAGTTAAAAGACAAAACAGTTTTTTGATACCATTGTATGCATTCATCAAAAAAGAAAAAAAAATTCGAAAACCTTCTTTTTCTCTTTTACAATTGATGACAAATTTTTCAAACAAAACGAAAAGGTGTGTGGTAGATACATTACCCACAAACCTGATCTTAGACAGCATGTAAACGGGAAGTTCCCGATTAATTTTTAAAATTATAACCTCAATATATCGCATTTTTTGTACGACCTTCTTGGATTAATGACCAATTAGTAATTACGAATATGCAAGATCAAAGAGGAACCGTAACCACTTAAGAAAAAAAGATGTGGTGGCGATATATTTTTTTCATTTATTTATTTTATTTATTTTATTTCATTTAATTTTTTTATTCAATGTTATACTATGTTCTATTTATATTCTATTATATATATATATATTTCTATTTTTCCCTTTTTGGGGGGGATCCTTTTCTTTAAAAAAAAACAAAAAAAAAATCTCTCTTTCGAATTAGTGGCTGAAACTGAAAAAATAAATTAAAATAAAATAACAAATAAAAATATATTAAAAAGATAAGATAGAATTAGATAAATGAAAACCACTCCTGAAAAATTCCCTTATCTAAGCTAAATAAATATATACATGTTATTTCAAAACTAGTTTATTGGAACCGATTTACTAAAATTAAATATTTTTGTGACGACTCCTTCCAAATTTATTAAAAGAAAAATTTGGACAATTCCAAGCATTGGTGGGAATAAAATGTATTTCTTATTATTGTAATCAATTTGATCGTAAAAAAGGTGTTGGCGATGTCGTACCAGCCGGATTGATATTGTAGGTTAAATAAATTGGGATTTTGTATAAGGAATTTTTTTGAATTTTTCAAGAATTTTTTTTTTTTGTATATTGTCCTCCCGTTTCCATAAAAAAAGTCGGTTACAAAATGTGAAAATTTCGACAAATTTGTAAAATGTCGGGTGTATTCAGATTCGGTGACTCGTTCCACATCTCTGAACATGGACTTCCAATTTTGTTGTTCTGAAACATAATGAGAGGTACTTATCTGGCGGAAATTCCGTTTAAACAAGAGTTTCATTCGCTTGATATTGTTTAGCGAAAAGAAACAAAAGGTGCTTGGGAAAAAAAATTCAGCATGTCTTTGTTATTTTAAAATGAATTCTGAAGGATTTATTGAAAGAGGGAAGGAACTTCCGTCTTTTTAGGATGTATTTCAAAGCAATTATTCATGAAAAAAAAAAAAAATTCTATGAATATGTGAATGCATATATGAAGTCAAATGCCTTCGAAATGTGCCACAAAAAAATCAAGAGAGATGAATTTCTTGTCATTTGGCGCTAATTATTAAAAACGTAAATGCAAATTAAAGGTCATTATGTGTCACATACGAATTTTTGGACATGAAAAAAAAAACGTGGTGATCCTGTGTAATTTGGTGATTGTTCAATGAACAACCAAGTTGAAAACAAAAAAAACTCTAATCTATCTAGCTTGGCAATCCTTTTTATCTATGTCGAAGAAATCTTTGGTGGACTTTCCAAAGTTTCCATGAAGTCAGGTCCTTTCACAACTGGGTTGATATTTTGGTGAGAATAATGGTTCAAAAATATGGTATAAAAATAGTTGTACATGGGTAAGTTTTGGGTCACCGGTCATGTATCGGTCATGAGTCATGCTCATTATGCGGGGTGACACTTTAAAGAATTTTCCAAGTCACGAGTTGCAGTTTCAAAAAATAATAATAATAATAATAAAACTTGCGCTAACGCGATTCAGAACGGTTGTGAGCTACGGGGAATTTGTAATGTTGTTTAAAAAAAAATACATGGTTGACAATTGGTAACAAGCAAAATGAAAAAAAAAATTTGTAACAAAAAGCGTACAACATAACCAACGTTAAATTTCTTTGAAAATCTATTGAGATATCACCTTTTCAATTCTAAGCAACACGTGAAAACATTTTTTTCCATTTTAATAATGACTTTCCGCAAAAGTCTCATTTCAAATTAACGATGGCTAGAATTGGAATGTTTGGAATCATTTATTCTTTTTTTCCATCCTCGTAACAATCTATTATACACGAAGTGCGCATCTTCCATAAATTTTTTTTGCAGGAAAAAAAAAAGCTAATCACAACATCCATCCCTACCAAAATCAATAAAAGAAACTTTTTTTTCATTTCAACCCGTTTTTGTAATCTTTGAGGAATAATGGAAAGTAACACCACCAGCCCGAAGGATAACAATATGATATTTCACATCAATAACAAAGAAAGAATTTCCTAATTTGATCACAATTAAGAAAAAAAAAAAGATTTTTATTTCTTCATATTATTTTTTCATCTAAAAAAAAATTGTTTTTCTAGTTGGAAAGGAAGTAGACTAACCATTTTTGTAATATTGTCATTTTAAGACCGTTTTCGAACAATAATACTTATTTTTTATATAAGAAGAATATAAGATTTTTTTCTGGACTAAATGAGGAATCAGATTAACATATATAAACATACTTTTACATATAAAAAATTTTTCTTCTTAATTTTCCAACAATAGCATGCCTAAAAATTCATATCATTATCTGAATGAATACGTTATCATTTTTTTTTATTTTTATTATTATATTTTAAAAAAAAATAAACAACCTCCAAATCAATTTTCTTGTTTGAATATAAATTATATAAATTGATTACGAATGTGTATATGATATCATAGTTATTTCATAATTAAAAAAAAAAAAATAAGCCACAACATTCATTCGTCTAGAGTTAAAATAAAAAACGTTGTGTTATGATTGAATAGGAAAAGGGGACGCAATTTGAGGGGCCACCCCACTAAATTCGCCTCATGACAAATATGTAAAAGTGTAGAAAAAATGACCGCAGTTGCTTATTGACCGCAACAATTATGCCATCTCATGTAGTACAAATAAAACACAAAGTACAAATATTGATAGAAATTTAAAATCGGTACGTAATCATCAGAAGGATGAATTCTACGTAATACCATCCAAAAAGGAAAGTAAACAATGTTTATGCAAATGCTGCGGTCCGTGATTAATTTGTGGCAGTTATTGAAATTCAGGGTTATACTTTTTTGTAATAGATGTGATTTGAATATATTTACCCAAAAGAGTGAATAAATAAAACTGATTTGCAAGAAAAAAAAAAATAGAGGTACCAGAAGCTCATTCCCACATGATGTCATCTTTGCATATTTTTATAAGCGAAAAGAAAAAAAAAAAGAAAACATCTTATCGGATGTCAGATTGAAATCTTTATCATGGGAGAAGCGATTCAATTTGTGTGTATTTTCGATAAATAATAATAAATAATAATCAGCAAGCTCACGAGGTGGATAAAAGAAGAAAGCCGCGTAGGAATAAACTCTAATTCGTGATCATATGAGCGTTACTTGACGAGAATTTTCATGTGAAGATGATTTTTAGTAATCTTATTACAAACAATAAATAACATCAAGGTCATCTGAGCTTGATCAAATGATCTAAAAAAGAAAGCCAAGAAATTCTTTAAGTTTGTAAACTAACTTGCACTTTCTTTGTATTAGCAGTTATGGTAAAACCTTAGTAAAATAAACAATGAATTTTGGGCAAGTCATAAGTCATGTGGCGGATATCAAGTCATGTGTAAAGCATCATATGAAGGATTTTATTTACAAAAATAAAAATAAAAAAAATGCAAGTTAGAACATTTTAAGGTTGAATGGAGATTACAATGTATTTTTCTCTTATCATTAAAAATTCTCCTTAAATCAATTCAAAGAAGGAAATAATGTTCCGGATTTAACATAATGAATTTTAATTAAAAGCATGCATTTAATTAATTTTTAACAAAATTAAGGTTATGAAAACCGATGATAATACAAAGAATGTCCTTGTTCAAATTTATCATTATGTAACCGTTACATTCATGAAACAAAATATCCGACTAATAATCTGATGAATGGTTATAAAAAAAAAAAAATGGAATCTACGACAATTGCGCATATCTGATATATCAGAATGCATCAGCCAAGTAACTCAAT